TCCACCCTCTGAGCTGGGAACATCACACTGGACGTGTCCTTTTCCCACCAGGCTTTTCTGCAAGCTGCTCCAGCCAACACCATTACCAGCTGGACAAACACCAAGAAAAATCCTAAGGAATGTCAACACAACGCTGCCAACATGGCTGATTTCCCTGTTCCCAGCTTGTGTGAACTTCCATCTGTCCCCACAGAGGGAAAGGTCCTCCCTGGGGACAGGGGTGCCTCCTGTGACCCTGCCAAGAGAGGCAGCACTGTGACCAGAGGATGTTCCTGAGCTCCAGCACAAGTTCCTGGTGACAGCAAAGGTGGCAGCCACGGAGTGCTCCTGTTACAACCTTGGTTTAGACAAAGTGGAAATGCTCCAGGGCAGTGAGCTGGGAGTGGCAGCAGGAGCTGGGAATGAGGGACTGCACCTGGCCCTGAGTGCTGCAGTGAGAGCAGCTCTGAGACACCTCAGAGCAGGGTTTGGGAGGGGGGAGCTGGTCCCCAGTCCCACACCAGTTTCAGCCCAAGGGGAACAGGGCTGGGAGATGTGGGACAGGTCCCGGTGTGTCCCTGACAGCCTGTCCCCTTTATCATTCCCCTGGAGTGCCACGGGGATGGCAGTGCTGAAGGAGATGGGAGAGGTCCCCTGAGTGGGAGAGCATCACCCCAGCACTGGGCATCCTTCCCACATGTGCCTGGCTCTGGCAGCCAGGGAATGCCAAGAGCCCGGGGCAGACTGTGAGAAGGAGGTCCCAAGGTCTCATGCCACCCTCACTGCCAGCCAAGGGTGTCGAGTGTCCCAGTGACTGCAGGGTACATGGGGTGACAGCCCTCCCAGATCCCTCAGTCACCCACAAGAGCTGGGAATTGGGGTGGCCACAGTACCCAGGGATGGCTGCAGTGTCCCACAGGTGACTGTGCTGTCCAGGGACATCCTTGGTGGCCAGGTCTGGCACTCGTGTCTCAAAAATGGCCATGGTGTCCCAGTGTTGGCTGTGGTGGGATTGCTGCAGGGACACAAAGCCAACCAGAATTCCAGGGGCTGGACACTCTCAGGGGTATCTGGGGTGTCCCAGGGTGGCTGTAGGGTGTGGGAACTCCTGATGGGGAGGAACAGGAAAACCAAGGTCACAGGAACTGGGATCCCCGACCATGTCTCCCCATACACACCATGTCCCCATAGACACTGTGTCCCCACACAAACCATGTCCCCATACACACCATATCACCCCATACACACCACATCACCCCATAAACACCATATCACCCCATAGACACCATGTCCCCATACACACCATATCATCCATACACACCACGTCACCCCATACATACCATGTCCCCATACACACCATGTCACCCCATACACACCATGTCACCCCATATACTCCATGTCACCCTGTACACACCATGTCACCCCATAAACACCATGTCCCCATACACACCATGTCCCCCCATACACACCATGTCCCCCCATACACACCATGTCACCCCATATACTCCATGTCCCCATACACACCATGTCCCCCCATACACACCATGTCACCCCATACACACCATGTCCCCATAGACACTGTGTCCCCACACAAACCATGTCCCCATACACACCACATCACCCCATACACACCATGTCACCCCATACACACCATGTCACCCCATAAACACCATATCACCCCATATACTCCATGTCCCCATAGACACCATGTCCCCATACACACCACATCACCCCATAAACACCATATCACCCCATATACTCCATGTCCCCATAGACACCATATCACCCCATAAACACCATATCACCCCATACACACCATATCACCCCACACACACCATGTCCCCACACACACCATGTCCCCATAGACACCATGTCCCCATACACACCGTATCACCCATATACTCCATGTCCCCATACACAGCATGTCCCCATACACGCCATATCACCCCACACACACCATGTCCCCACACACATGTCCCCATAGACACCATGTCCCCATACACACCGTATCACCCATATACTCCATGTCCCCATACACAGCATGTCCCCATACACGCCATATCACCTCATACACACCATATGCTCGTACACACCATGTCACCATACACACCATATCATGCCATACATACCATGTCACCCCATACACACCATGTCCCCATACACACCAGATCACCCCATACACATCATGTCACCTCATACACACCATGTCCCCACACACACCATGTCCCCATACACACCACATCACCCCATACACACCACATCCCCCACAGACACCATACACACCCCATACCCCTCCCATACACAGAGGGGGCTTAGGGGGCTGTTGTGGCGTGGTTGCCCCACAGAGTCCTTGCCCAGGCATCCCAGGGCTGGCCCAGGATGGCCTCAATGAGGGTTCACTGTCCCCTCAGCCCCATAGCCCCAAGAACAGTCCCAAGGGTCAGCCCCAAGGCCAGAGGCCACTGGCCACCACTAGCACACTCTGGTCCTCTGCTGACACCTGTGGGCAAGGGACTGTCCTTATGTGTCACCCTGCCCTACCTGGCACCCTGCCCCACCTGGCACTGCGTCCCTGCGTGTCATTCTGCCCATACAGGTCACCTCACCCTCCCTGTGTCACTGTGTCCCTGCAGGTTACCCCACCTGACATGTCATGCTGTCCTTACCCATCACACTGTCCCTACATGTCCCCTCTGTCTCTTTGCCATGTCTCATGCCCTGCCTGTACACCCTCCTGTTCCTGTGTGCCACCCAGCTGCCTGTCCCCAGGGCCTGGTCCTGCAGGGGATTTGGGGACAGCCAGGGGAGCAGGGCTATGGTGCCCCTGAACTCATCCCTGGGGACACAGGGACAGTGCCACAGGCAGGGCCACGCAGCACCCGGGTCCCTGCCCATGGCTCAGGGCCTTGGTGGGGAGCCAGGATGTGGGGACACAGCGGGGACAGCGCCACCAGGTCTGTGCTGTGCCATGGGGACTGTCCCCACCCGATGGCTGTGCCCCTGACAGGGCCCAGCTGCAGCACCCTGGGCATGGAGCCTTCCCTGGGAAGGGGCAGGAGAGGAAAGGTGGCCCCAGCAGTGTCCCCTCCACAGCCCCCACTGTCCCCCCTGCCATTCTCTACCTCCTCCACCTTTCCATCACTGCCTTCATCCATAACACCCTCCATCACTGCCATTGCCCCCTCCATCCTCCTCTATTGCCCCCTCCATTTGTCACCCTCCCCATCACCTCCATCCATCCATCCATCCATCCATCCATCCATCCATCCATCCATCCATCCCCCTGCATCATTCCTATCATCCTCCCTCCATCCTTCCTTCCATCACTGCTGCATCCCCCTCCCACCCTGCCTCCCCTGAAGCTTCCATCCCCCTCCATTCCCCTTCACCCTCCCCATCATCTCTCCATCCTCCACTTGCCCCCTCCATCCTGATTCCATCTCCATCCCTGCTGCCTCTCCCTCCCAGTTTCCTCCCTCACACCCTCCTTTGTCCCCTGGTCCCCCTCCATGGCTGGGGCCGTGCCTTTGGGGAGGGGACTGTCCCTGCCTGGAAGCTCCTCCTGGAGCAGGAGGACTCAGACAGCGCCAGGCAGGCCTGTGTATGTCAGCAATACCCTAATTAATTAATTATGGGATAATCTCTGGTTCTGGGGAAGGAACGGGTGGCTGCTCAGACTTGATTAACCACAAGAATGTTTAATCTCCCCCTGCAGCCCTGTAAGGCACCGGGATTATTCCCACTGGGGTGCACCAGCCATGCCTGGCTGCAAGGGGACACAGAGCCTGGGACAGCCCAGGGACACCCAGATTCCATAGGGTGACCCTGCCCCAGCCCCACAGGGATGGAATGGGATGGGACTGGGCATTCCCTGCTTCTCCTGCCTCTGTCCTGCACCCCAATCCCACATCCCTGATCCCCCATCATGGACCCTGCACCCTGCTTCCCATATCCCAGTCTTGCATCCTGCATCCCACATCCTGCATTCCACAGAAACACTCTCCATCGCAGACACAAATCCTGCATCCTGCATTCTGCAACCCACATCCTGTATCCCACATCCCAGACCTGCATCCTTCGCCCTCAATCCTTCATCTGGAATCCTTCATCCTGCATTCCACTCCTGCATTCCAATGCAGCATCCCAGCACCGGACCCCAGCCCTGCATCCTTCATCCCACATCCCAGTCCTGCATTCCAATCCTTTGTCCTACATCCCGATCCTGTATCCTTCATCCCATATCGCAGTCCTGCATCCTGCATGCCATCCCTGCATTTGTGATCCCATATCCCAATCCTGCATTCCGTATCCTGTATCCTAATCCTGCATCCCAGCCCCTGCTCGGCAGACCCGTATCCTTCATCCCACATCCCAATCCGGCATTCCAGCGCTGTATCCTTCTTCCCACATCTCAATCCTGCATTCCAACGCCGTTATCTTCATCCCACATCCCAATCCCGCATTCCAACGCCGCATCCTTCATCCCCCATCCCAATCCCACAAGCCGGTTGTGCATTCCAACGCCGCATCCTTCATCCCCCATCCCAATCCCCCATCCCGGTTGTGCATTCCAATGCAGCATCCCAGTCCCGCATCCCTCATTCCCCACCCGAGTGCTCCCCCTGAGCCCCGGGCTCGGCACAAAGGCCGCACTACAGCTCCCGGCGTGCCCGGGGGGGGCCGGCGCCGCTGCCGCCCGCGCCTGCGGGTGCTCGGCCGCGGGAGCGCGCTCGGGGGGCGCGGGCGCGGGCGCGGGAGCGCGCACCAATCGCGGCGCGGCCGCGCCCCGCCCCGGCCCGCCCCGGCCGCCCCATCCCCGCACCGGGCGGGGCGCAGCGGCCGCGCTGCCATGAGCGAGCGCCCGGCGGGGCCGCCCCGCCGCGCCCCGGCCGCCCGCGCCCCCCGCCCCGGCCGCGCCCGCTCCGCCCCGGCCCCGGCCCCGGCCCCGGCCTCGGCCCCGGGGATGCCGCGGGGGCGGCGCGGCTGAGCCCCCCAGCCCCGCTGCGCCGCCGGCCCCGCCCGCCGCCGCCATGGCCGGTAAGCCCCGCAGCGGCTGCGAGGCGCTCCGGGTGGTGGCCCGGTGCCGGCCCATGAGCCGGCGGGAGGAGGCGGCGGGATACGAGCGCGTCCTGGAGCTGGACGTGAAGCTGGGCCAGGTGAGCATCCGCAACCCCCGCGCCGCCCCCGGGGAGCTGCCCAAGACCTTCACCTTCGACGCCGTGTACGACGCCAGCTCCAAGCAGGCCGACCTCTACGACGAGACGGTGCGGCCGCTCATCGACTCGGTGCTGCAGGGCTTCAACGGCACCGTCTTCGCCTACGGGCAGACCGGCACCGGGAAGACCTACACCATGCAGGGCGCCTGGGCGGAGCCCGAGAAGCGCGGCATCATCCCCAGCGCCTTCGAGCACATCTTCACCCACATCTCCCGCTCGCAGAACCAGCAGTACCTGGTGAGGGCCTCGTACCTGGAGATCTACCAGGAGGAGATCAGGGACCTCCTCGCCAAGGACCAGAGCAAGAAGCTGGAGCTGAAGGAGAACCCCGAGACCGGGGTGTACATCAAGGACCTCTCCTCCTTCGTGACCAAGAACGTCAAGGAGATCGAGCACGTGATGAACCTGGGCAGCCAGACGCGCTCGGTGGGCAGCACCAACATGAACGAGCACAGCTCGCGCTCGCACGCCATCTTCCTCATCACCATCGAGTGCAGCGAGACGGGGCCGGACGGCGAGGAGCACATCCGCGTGGGCAAGCTCAACCTCGTGGACCTGGCCGGCAGCGAGCGCCAGAACAAAATGGGGGCCCAGGGAGAGCGCCCCAAGGAGGCCTCCAAGATCAACCTCTCCCTCTCGGCCCTGGGCAACGTCATCTCGGCGCTGGTGGACGGGCGGAGCACGCACATCCCCTACCGGGACTCCAAGCTCACCCGGCTGCTGCAGGACTCCCTCGGCGGCAACGCCAAGACAATCATGGTGGCCACCTTGGGCCCGGCCTCGCACAGCTACGACGAGAGCCTGTCCACCCTCAGGTTCGCCAACAGGGCCAAGAACATCAAGAACAAGCCGCGGGTGAACGAGGACCCCAAGGACACCTTGCTGCGGGAGTTCCAGGAGGAGATCGTGCGGCTGAAAGCCCAGCTGGAGAAACGCGGGATGCTGGGCAAGAAGAGGAGGAGGAGCAGCCGGAGGAAGAAAGCGGTGGATGGAGAGGGCACCGTGGACAATGAAGGGGAGGATGAGAATGAGGATGGCCTGGAGAAGACCATGGAGAATTACTTGAAGGAGCAGAAGGAGAGGCTGGAAGAGGAGAAAGCCGCTATCCAGGATGACCACAGCCTGGTGAGTGAGGAGAAGCAGAAGCTGCTCCAGGAGAAGGAGAAGATGATTGAGGACCTGCGGAAGGAGCAGGAGGCCACGGAGCTGCTGGCCATCAAGTACAAGGTTCGTGTTGCCTGGCATGGTGACAAACGGGGCCGGGGTGCCTGCTGTGCCCCCAGCCCCTGGTGTGGATGGGAATGGATCCCAAGCAGGGAGCCTGAGGGAGGTGCCCACCCTCCCAAGTGAGGTGACCAGGGAGCGTCCCCAAGGGCAGCCCCGGGCTCTGGTGTGGGGCTGGGCTGGGGGGGCCCTCAGACCCGCGTGGGGACACTGTGGGAGCTGCAGGGGACAGCAGGGAAGGGCCACGGGGGAGAGGGTCACTGTGGCACCAGTGTGCTGTGCTCAGCTCTCGTCCCCTTCAGCACAACAAAGCAGCTGTGTGGGAAGGGAGTGAGGAGAGTGATGCTGCAGATTCGTCCCTGGTGGCCTCGGGAGCGAGCCCAGGGCTGGGCTGGGGACACGGGGCAGCTGCCCCCACCTGCCCCCAGTTCTGAACGGCCCCTGCTCCCAGTGGGCTCTGTGGGGATGGGCAGGGCCTGGCAGCTCTGCAGGGACCCCCGTCCCCCTCCCCACCCCAAGCCAGCGCAGGGTGCGTGGGGCTGCTGGCTCGGGGATGCTCAGGGGTTTGGTGCTGAGGGTGAGAGGGGCCACAGGAGCTGGGCTGGGGTCTGGGGCTGCACCTCCCCCTGCCCCAGCCCTGCTCCTGTCCCCACTGCTGGGGGGTCCTGACCTCTCCTCCCTGCCTGTGGTGGCTGTGGGGCTGGAACGCCCGGTGGGGAGGGAGCCCCTGACCCTTGGCATCACACTCAGCACAGCCCCACTGGCACAGCCCCCCTGGCACAGCCCCACTGGCCCAGATGCAGGGACTGGGCTGGAGCCCAGGCAGGGAGGGACCCTCTGGGGTGGGACATGCCCAGGGTGCCAGGGCTGGGCAGGGGTCTGGACCCTCTCCCATGGCCAGGGTGGTGTTTGTTGGAGCCCCAGGGACACATGGCCGTGCCCAGGGATGCGTGATTGTGCCCAGGGTGGTGTTTTGGCCGTGCCCAGGGATGTGTGATTGTGCCCAGGGATGTGTGATTGTGCCCAGGGTGGTGTTTTAGCTGTGCCCAGGGATGTGTTTGTGCCCAGGGATGTGTGATTGTGCCCTGGGATGTGTGATTGTGCCCAGGGATGTGTGATTGTGCCCAGGGTGGTGTTTTAGCCATGCCCAGGGATGTGTGGTTGTGCCCAGGGATGTGTGATTGTGCCCAGGGTGGTGTTTTGGCTGTGCCCAGGGATGTGTGGCTGTGCCCAGGGTGGTGTTTTAGCCATGCCCAGGGATGTGTGATTGTGCCCAGGGATGTGTGATTGTGCCCAGGGATGTGTGATTGTGCCCAGGGTGGTGTTTTGGCCGTGCCCAGGGATGTGTGATTGTGCCCAGGGATGTGTGGCTGTGCCCAGGGATGTGTGGCTGTGCCCAGGGTGGTGTTTTGGCCGTGCCCTGGGATGTGTGGTTGTGCCCAGGGATGTGTGGCTGTGCCCAGGGTGGTGTTTTGGCCGTGCCCTGGGATGTGTGGCTGTGCCCAGGGATGTGTGGTGGTGCCCAGGGATGTGTGATTGTGCCCAGGGATGTGTGGCTGTGCCCAGGGATGTGTGATTGTGCCCAGGGTGGTGTTTTGGCCGTGCCCAGGGATGTGTGATTGTGCCCAGGGATGTGTGGCTGTGCCCAGGGTGGTGTTTTGGCCGTGCCCCGGGATGTGTGGCCGTGCCCAGGGATGTGTGGTGGTGCCCAGGGATGTGTGCCCATGCCTGGATGCCTGCACAGGGAGCGTGGGATCGCACTGGGACGTGCCCCTGGGGCAGAGCCGTGGGCTGCTGGCTGGCACGGCGCGTATCCCGTGACAAGTGTCCCGTGCCAAGTGTCCTGGCACAGCAGCATGCCTGGCACAGGCACAGGGGTCTCTGCAGCCGTCCCCTGTCACAGTGGGGTGCAGGCTGTGGGGTGCAGGCTGGCTGGGCTGGCAGCTGTCCTGCCCAGTGTCCCTGTGTGGCTCAGCAGGGCTGGCTCAGGGCCACCGTGTGCCCTGGAAGTGCTGAGTAACCAGGCAGGGCCGGAGGAGAGGTGACACCGTGTCCCTTTTGGCGGCCTTTGGGGCTGCTCTGCACACGGGGACCCTGTGGCCATGGGGGTTCAGCACAGTGACAGCAGAGAGGTGTCACCTCAGTGGGCACAAAGGGGCACAGCCTGCTGTGACACTCACCCCACTGGGCACAGCTGGGACACTGGGTGGCCTCAGGGTGCTCCTGGGCAGCTTTGCCACACTCTGGGGCCGGGCAAGGAGCCCCTGGCTCTGTGATGACCGTGGCAAAGACAGCTGAGGTGACAGGGGGACACGGGGTGCCCCCCACACCCACGGGTGACACACTGCACCCTGTGTTATTGTCACACTCGTGGGTGTGGGCTCTGCCTCTGCCACCCAGCTGGGACATGTGGGACACGGAGCTCGGAGAGGTGGGGTCAGCCTGCCCCAGCAGATGTGATTCTGGGGGCCCAGATGTGCATTGGATGCCCTTATGTGCTCCTGGGTGCCCAGATGTGCTCCTGGGTGCCCTTATGTGCTCCAGGGTGTCCAGATGTGCTCCTGGATGTGCTCCTGGGTGCCCAGATGTGCTCCTAGGTGCTCTTTTGTGCTCCTGGGTGCTCTTTTGTGCTCCTGGGTGCCCATATGTGCTCTGGGTGCCCAGCTGTGTGCCCAGGCAGAGGGGCTGTGCCACAGGGGAGCTGGCCATGGGCTGTGGGTGTTTCCAAGGGCTGTGCCAGGGGCTGAGGCCGAGGTCAGCAGGAGGGAAAGCGCTGGGAAGTTCTCTGGGTGCCGGAAATGAGTTCCTGGGAGAGGCTTAGGGCTAAAGGAGATTGGGAGCCTCTTCCTTAGAGGGAATAAATGCCCTGGCAGGGAGGAGGAAACAGCATCACTGAGAAGCCTCTTAGTCTGCCAGGGATGGTGTCAGCCCTGCGGGAGGGGGGCTGGCTGGGCACCCACGGCTTTGGGGGTGTCCTCTGGGTGCTGGGGGCTGCTGGCACAGCTTTGGGGTGTCCCCTGGGGGCTGCTGGCATGGCTGTGGGGGTGTCCCCTGAGTTCCCCCAGAACCCACAATGCACCCCCTGGAGCTGGAAAAATGGGGGGAAAACCATGGAAACAGAGCCTTGCCCCAGGCAGGTTGGCCTCTGGTTTGCCAGAGCCCCCACTCTGTGCGCAGCACCCCCATGGAGACCCCTGCCCTGGGACATGTGACAGCAGCACCGTGATCACTGTGTGACCCCCAGTGCTGGCACCACCCTTGGGGTGGCCTGGTGGCCCCTCTGTCCCTCAGGGCTGTGGCCATGGCAGTGGGGAGGGGGCCAGGCCCTGTGAGGAGCAGAGCCCCTGGATCTGTGTGCCCAGGGGGTGAGGGTGGCCACGTGCTGGTGGCAGGGGGGACATTGCAGAGATGGCCATGTGAGGGTGGCAGGGGGGACATTGCAGAGATGGCCACGTGCTGGTGGCAGGGGGGACATTGCAGAGATGGCCACGTGCTGGTGGCAGGGGGGACATTGCAGAGATGGCCATGTGAGGGTGGCAGGGGGGACATTGCAGAGATGGCCACGTGCTGGTGGCAGGGGGGACATTGCAGAGATGGCCATGTGAGGGTGGCAGAGGGGACATTGCAGAGACGGTGGCTGAGCTGTCTCTGTGGCTGGGACAGTGATTTTTGAGGCTGTGTGAGGTGTCCTGGGGACATCTGGGTCTGTCCCTGCTGATGCCCCTCAGGTGCAGCTGTGGGGGGCACAGGGTGTCCCCCCATTTGTCCCTCATGGACACCCTGACATGGGAGCAGGGCTGCAGGGCATGGATACACACATGGTGTGCACACAGACACACAAATACACACACAGCATGCACATGGACACACAAATACACACACAGCGTGCACATGGACACACAGAGAGACATTGTGCACACACACAATCTGCACATAGTATGCACACACACATACACACACTGTGCACGTGGGCACACACACAGAGTGTGCGCACACACAGTGTGTACACAGACACACAAATACACACACAGCGTGCACATGGACACACACAGAGAGACATTGTGCACACACACAATCTGCACATAGTATGCACACACACATACACACACAGTGTGCACATGGACACACAGAGAGACATTGTGCGCACACACAGTCTGCACACAGACACACAGTGTGCACACACACATACACACACAGTGTGCACATGGACACACAGAGAGACATTGTGCACACACACAATCTGCACATAGTGTGCACACACACATACACACAGTGTGCACATGGACACACACAGAGACATTGGGCACACACACAATCTGCACATAGTGTGCACACACACATACACACACAGTGTGCACATGGACACACAGAGAGACATTGTGCGCACACACAGTCTGCACACAGACACAGTGTGCACACACACAATCTGCACATAGTGTGCACACACACATACACACACTGTGCACGTGGGCACACACACAGAGTGTGCACACACAGTGTGTACACAGACACACCAAGTGTGAACACACAGGTACACACACATACACATGATGTGTGCACAAACAGTGTGAACATACACACACGGTGTGCACATATATACACACAGAGTGTGCACACACACACAGTGTGTGCACAGACACACCGAGTGTGAACACACAGATACACACACAAACACATGATGTGTGCACAAACAGTGTGAACACACACAGTGTGCACATATATACACACAGAGTGTGCACACACAGTGTGTGCACAGACACACTGAGTGTGAACACACAGGTACACACACAAACACATGATGTGTGCACAGTGTGAACATACACACACGGTGTGCACATATATACACACACAGTGTGCACACACAGTGTGTGCACAGACACACTGAGTGTGAACACACAGATACACACACAAACACATGATGTGTGCACAAACAGTGTGAACACACACGGTGTGCACATATATACACACAGAGTGTGCACACACAGTGTGTGCACAGACACACCGAGTGTGAACACACAGATACACACACAAACACATGATGTGTGCACAGTGTGAACATACACACACACAGTGTGCACATATATACACACAGAGTGTGCACACACACACAGTGTGTGCACAGACACACCGAGTGTGAACACACAGATACACACACAAACACATGATGTGTGCACAAACAGTGTGAACACACACGGTGTGCACATATATACACACAGAGTGTGCACACACAGTGTGTGCACAGACACACCGAGTGTGAACACACAGATACACACACAAACACATGATGTGTGCACAGTGTGAACATACACACACACAGTGTGCACATATATACACACAGAGTGTGCACACACACACAGTGTGTGCACAGACACACCGAGTGTGAACACACAGATACACACACAAACACATGATGTGTGCACAAACAGTGTGAACACACACGGTGTGCACATATATACACACAGAGTGTGCACACACAGTGTGTGCACAGACACACCGAGTGTGAACACACAGATACACACACAAACACATGATGTGTGCACAGTGTGAACATACACACACACAGTGTGCACATATATACACACAGAGTGTGCACACACACACAGTGTGTGCACAGACACACCGAGTGTGAACACACAGATACACACACAAACACATGATGTGTGCACAAACAGCGTGAACATACACACACACACAGTGTGCACATATATACACACAGAGTGTGCACACACAGTGTGTGCACATAGACACAAATACTCAGTGTGCTCATACACACACACAGTGTGCACATAGACACAAGTACACACACTGTGCTCACACACACACAGACACAGTGTGGACATACACAGACACACAGTGTGCATATAGACACAAATACACACACAGCATGCGCACAGACACACACAGTGTGCACATACACACGGAGTGCCCACACACAGAGACATTGCACACACACACAGTGTGCACATAGACACAAATACAGTGTGCACAGAGACACACGTGTGTGTACACACGAGTGTACACACACACAGTGTGCAGATACATGCACACAAACTGTGTGCACACACAGTGTGCACGTACACAGTCTGCACATACACACAGTGTGCACACACACATGCACACACACATGCACACACACGTGATATGCAGATACACAGTATGCACACACACACTGTGTGCATACACACAAACACACACATGATGCACATACACGGTGTGCACATACACACAGAGTGCACACACACACAGTGTGCACATACACAGTGTGCACACACACGTACACACACATGGTGTGTAGATACACAGTGTGCACACAGACACTGTGCATACACACAAATACACACTGTGCACACACATACACACACGGTGTGCAGATACACAGTGTGCACACACCTACATGGTGTGCACATGCATACAGAGTGTGCATGTACGCATAGACACAGCGTGCATACACACAAATACACACACACGGTACACACAGTGTGTACATACACACACACACACAGAGTGTGTGCACATACACATAGACTCAGTGCACACACACAAATGCACACACATGGTGTGCGCATGCACACAGTGCACACACACATACACAGTGTGTACGTACACACACACATGAACATGGTGTGCACAGACACCCGGTGCTCCCACACGTACCCATGTGTGTGTGAACGTGTTCAGCCTGGCACAGGATGTGCTCCCTGTGTGTGTGTAATTTGCGCTTCTGTGTGCACAGCCCCTGGGTGTGTATTTCAGTGTTTGTTAACTTCTATGTGCACAGCCCCTGGGTGTGTTTATGGGTGTTTGTGCATTTCTGTATGCACAACTCCTGTGTGTGTTTATGTGTGTGTTTGTGTGTGTGTGCATTTATGTGTGCACAGCCCCTGCATGTATGTTTATGTGTGTTTGTGTGTGTGTTTATTTCTGTGTTTGTGTGTATTTATGTGTGTGCTTGTACATTTCTGTGTGCATAGCCCCATTTCTTTGTGTATTTGTTTGTGTATTTGTGTGTGTTTATGTGCACACACACACGAGTGCACACACACGTGGTGTACACATGGTGTTCACATACATACACACACAAACACAGTGTGCACACACACAGATAGCGTGCACGTACATGCACATACACGGCCCCATTTCTCTGTGCACAGCCCCTGTGTGTGTGTATTTGTGTGTGTCTGTGAGTGTGTTCGTAGATTTCTGTGACCACAGCCCCATTTCGGTGTGTATTTCTGTGTGTTTGTATGTGTGTGTTTGTACATTTCTGTGTGCTGGCCCAGGGGACAGGGTCTGGCCCGCAGCTGCTGCTCATCCCTGCCCATCCCTGCCCATCCCATCCCATCCCATCCCATCCCATCCCATCCCTGCCCATCCCATCCCATCCCATCCCATCCCATCCCAGCCCTGTCCATCCCTGTCCAGCCCTGCACATCCCATCCCACCCCATCCCATCCCATCCCACCCCATCCCACCCCATCCCATCCCATCCCATCCCATCCCACCCCATCCCATCCCATCCCATCCCATCCCTGCAGTCCCAGCTGTGCCAGGGCAGGGCAGGGCAGCCCTTTCCAGGTGGGAATTGTTCCCATGTCCAATCTAATCCTGCCCAGCCTCCTCCCCATCAGCAGGGATCCGAGCAGAGGGGCCCTGAATGCTCCCACATCCCTGAGAGCAGGAATGGGGACAGGGAGCAGGGCTGGGGACAGGGATCAATGATCAGGGATCAGGGCTGGGGACAGGGAGCAGGGCTGGGGACAGGGAGCAGGGATGGGGACAGGGAGCAATGATCAGGGATCAGGGCTGGGGACAGGGAGCAGGGCTGGGGACAGGGAGCAGGGATGGGGACAGGGAGCAATGATCAGGGATCAGGGATGGGGACAGGGAGCAGGGCTGGGGACAGGGAGCAGGGATGGGGACAGGGAGCAGGGATGGGGACAGGGATCAATGATCAGGGATCGGGGATGGGGACAGGGATCAGGGATGGGGACAGGGAGCAGGGATGGGGACAGGGATCCGGGATGGGGACAGGGATCAGGGATGGGGACAGGGATCAGGGATGGGGACAGGGATCCAGGATGGGGGTCACCACCAGGAATCAGGGAAGGGCACAGGCATCGGGGATGGGGACAGGGATCAGGAATAGGGGTGACCACCGGGATCAGGAATGGGGGTCACACCCACTGAGGGTGGCACGGGGCAAAGCCCCCGGGCAGGGGTGGGGATGGCAGCCCTGACCCCCTGCCCTGTCCCCTGCAGGCCATGGAGAGCAAGCTGCTGATCGGGGGCAGGACCATCGTGGACCACACCAACGAGCAGCAGAAGATGCTGGAGCTGAGGCGGCAGGAGATCGCTGAGCAGGTACCAGGGGGGTGACAGGGCTGTCCTGGTGTGTCCTGCTGTGTCCTGGTGTGTCCTGTGCTGTCCAGGGCTGTCCTGGTGTGTCCTGGGCTGTCCTGGTGTGTCCTGGTGTGTCCTGGGCTGTCCTGGGCTGTCCTGGGGCTGTCCTGGTGTGTCTGGGGCTGTCCTGGGCTGTCCTGGGGGTGCCCTGGGCTGTCCTGGGGGTGTCCTGGGCTGTCCTGGGCTGTCCTGGTGTGTCCTGGTGTGTCCTGGGGTGTCCTGGGGCTGTCCTGGGGCTGTCCTGGGGCTGTCCTGGGCTGTCCTGGGGCTGTCCTGGGCTGTCCTGGGCTGTCCTGGTGTGTCCTGGGCTGTCCTGGGCTGTCCTGGTGTGTCCTGGGGCTGTCCTGGGCTGTCCTGGTGTGTCCTGGGCTGTCCTGGGGCTGTCCTGGGGCTGTCCTGGTGTGTCCTGGGCTGTCCTGGGCTGTCCTGGGCTGTCCTGGGGCTGTCCTGGGGCTGTCCTGGTGTGTCCTGGTGTGTCCTGTGCTGTCCTGGTATGTCCTGGTGTGTCCTGGTGTGTCCTGGTGTGTCCTGGGCTGTCCTGTGCTGTCCTGGGCTGTCCTGGGGGTGCCCTGGGCTGTCCTGGGGGTGTCCTGGGCTGTCCTGGGCTGTCCTGGTGTGTCCTGGTGTGTCCTGGTGTGTCCTGGGGTGTCCTGGGGCTGTCCTGGGGCTGTCCTGGGCTGTCCTGGGGGTGTCCTTGGCTGTCCTGGGGCTGTCCTGGGCTGTCCTGGGCTGTCCTGGTGTGTCCTGGTGTGTCCTGGTGTGTCCTGGGCTGTCCTGGGCTGTCCTGGGCTGTCCTGGTGTGTCCTGGTGTGTCCTGGGGTGTCCTGGGGCTGTCCTGGGGCTGTCCTGGGCTGTCCTGGGGGTGTCCTTGGCTGTCCTGGGCTGTCCTGGTGTGTCCTGCTGTGTCCTGGTGTGTCCTGGGCTGTCCTGGGCTGTCCTGGGCTGTCCTGGTGTGTCCTGGTGTGTCCTGGGGTGTCCTGGGGCTGTCCTGGGGCTGTCCTGGGGCTGTCCTGGTGTGTCCTGGGCTGTCCTGGTGTGTCCTGGGCTGTTCTGGGGCTGTCCTGGGGCTGTCCAGGGCTGTCCTGGTGTGTTCTGGGCTGTCCTGGGGCTGTCCTGGGCTGTCCTGGGGCTGTCCTGGGCTGTCCTGGTGTGTCCTGGGCTGTCCTGGGCTGTCCTGGGCTGTCCTGGGCTATCCTGGGCTGTCCTGGTGTGTCCTGGGCTGTCCTGTGGATGTCCTAGGCCTGTCCTCCCCGTCCCCATCCCGGTCCCAGCCGTGTCCCTGCCCCTCAGAAACGCCGGGAGCGGGAGATGCAGCAGGAGATGCTGCTGAGGGACGAGGAGACCATGGAGCTGCGCGAGACCTACACGTCCCTGCAGCAGGAGGTGGAGATCAAAACCAAGAAGCTGAAGAAGGTGAGATCGTGGCAGGTGGGGACAGGGACCGGGAGGAGCCTCCCTGGGGACGGGGCTGAGCTGCCGCGTCCCCTCCCAGCTCTATGCCAAGCTGCAGGCCGTGAAGGCCGAGATCCAGGACCAGCACGACGAGTACATCCGCGTGCGCCAGGACCTGGAGGAGGCCCAGAACGAGCAGACCCGGGAGCTGAAGCTCAAGTAGGTGTTGGGGTGTTGGTCAGGGGCTTGGGGGGCTCCTGGACCTGGTGGCCGTGGAGAAATGGGTGTGGAGAGCAGGGCTGGGGGGCTCAGAGCAGGGTTGGGGTGTTAGTGAGGGGCTTGGCGATCCCCTGGTCTGGGTGGTCCTGTAGAAATGAGTGTGCAGAGCAGGTTGAGGGGCTCAGAGCAGGGCTGGGGGGCTCAGAGCAGGGCTGGGGGGCTCAAATCCGGGTTGGGAGGGCTCAAAGTAGGGCTTAGGGGCTCAGAGCAGGGCTGGGGGGCTCAGAGCTGGGTTGAGGTGTTAGAGCAGGGCTGGGGGGCTCAGAGCAGAGTTAGGGGGCTCAGAGCAGGGTTGGGGGGCTCAGAGCAGGCTGGGGGGATCAGAGCAGGGCTGAGGGGTGCTCAAAGTAGGCTTGGAGGGCTCAGAGCAGACATAGGGGGCTCAGAGCAGGGTTAGGGGGAATCAAGGCAGGGTATGGGGTGTTAGAGCAGAGCTGGGGTGCTCAGAGCAGGGGTGGGGTGCTCAGAGCAGGGTTGGGGGGCTCAGAGCAGGGGTGGGGTGCTCAGAGCAGGGGTGGGGGGCTCAGAGCAGGGCTCAGAGCAGGGGTGGGGGGCTCAGAGCAGGGTTGGGGGGCTCAGAGCAGGGTTGGGGGGCTCAGAGCAGGGCTCAGAGCAGGGGTGGGGGGCTCAGAGCAGGGTTGGGGGGCTCAGAGCAGGGGTGGGGGGCTCAGAGCAGGGGTGGGGGGCTCAGAGCAGGGCTCAGAGCAGGGGTGGGGGGCTCAGAGCAGGGTTGGGGGGCTCAGAGCAGGGTTGGGGGGCTCAGAGCAGGGCTCAGAGCAGGGGTGGGGGGCTCAGAGCAGGGTTGGGGGGCTCAGAGCAGGGGTGGGGGGCTCAGAGCAGGGGTGGGGGGCTCAGAGCAGGGCTCAGAGCAGGGGTGGGGTGCTCCGGGGCTCGGAGTGGGTGCAGAACTGGAGGATTGACCCCACCCAGAGACAGGAACGGCCGAGCCCTGCCCGGGTGTCAGAGGTGGCACAAGCTGTGGCACTGGGGGCTGTGAGCCCTGCCCGGGTGTCAGAGGTGGCACAAGCTGTGGCACTGGGGGGCAGCAGCACAGGGGGCGACCAAGACTTGCCGAGAAAGGGGAAAAACCAGAAAACGTTCCAGCACAAACCCTGGCTGTGGCTGAACCCCGAGGGCACCTGGTGACTGCTCCGGCCACCACAGCGTCCTCAGAGGGACAGCGGCTCTGGGGACTCGGGGTGGCCCCATCTCCCTGGGGCTCCTGGTTCCCTCCTGGCAGAGTTTTCCCCTCCTGGCTCCCTCCTGGCAGAGTTTTCCCTCCCTGGAGCCTCCCACAGCTGCAGCTCTGCTGCCCCCGGGGTTTGTTCTCCCTTCAAACACTCCTCTCTCTCTCAGCTCTGTAACCCCCCGGCTGTTTGCACTGCAGCGTTTGCAGGGTGAAACAATCCCACTGCAAACAGAATTCCCTCTCCAGCTTTGCCCCTTCTCTCCTCCACCACAGCTCCCTGATGCAGCTCCTTGCCTGTGCCCGTGTTCACGGGGGTCTGAGGATGAGGGAAGAGATGAGGATCTGATTCCATGTTTCAGAAGGCTGATTTATTATTTTATGATATATATTACATTAAAACTATACTAAAAGAATAGAAGAAAAGGTTTCATCAGAAGGCTGGCTAAGAATAGAATAGAAAAGAATGATAACAAAGATTTGTGGCTCAGGCTCTCTGTCCGAGCCAGCTGACTGTGATTGGCCATTAATTAGAAACAACCGCATGAAACTAATCACAGATCTACTTGTTGCATCCCACAGCAGCAAATAACCATTGTTTACATTTTGTTCCTGAGGCCTCTCAGCTTCTCAAGAGGAAAAATCCTAAAGAAAGGATTTTTCATAAAAGTTGTCTGCGACACTTGCCTTAAAACAGTTTTTGACAGCTGCCCAAAACCACAGGAGAAAAGATTCCCCCTGGGGTCCCTTGGCATTGCTGAGCTTCCCTTGATTTTCAGGCTGGGCAGGGGGAGCAGACGTGGCAGGAGAGGAGGGAAAGGTCCTGGTGCTGCCTGGAGCCCCAGAGCTCCCGGGCTCCTCTCTGATGCCCGTCCTCTCCTGCCTCTCCCTTTCCACGGCTGCATCTGTTCCTCCAACCTCTGCCCTCCATCACATTTCCATCCTCCTCCTCCAACCTCTGCCCTCCATCACATTTCCATCCTCCTCCTCCAACCTCTGCCCTCCATCACATTTCCATCCTCCGGATGTTTCTGTGTCTCCTTCTCTTCCTGCCTTTCCCCTCCCTCTGTGCCTGTTTTCTGTCTCCTGTCACTTAACCCCTTCCTCTCCCGCTCCTGCTCTGTCCCTCAGGTATTTGATCATCGAGAATTTCATCCCTCCCGAGGAGAAGAACAAGATCATGAACCGCCTGTACTTCGATGGCGACGAGGAGCAGTGGAAATTCCAGCCGCTGGTTCCTGCTGGAGGGTGCGTCCCTGTGGCCCTGTCCTTGTCCCTGTGTCCCTGTGGCCCTGTGTCCCTGTGTCCCTGTCCCTGTGTCCCTGTGTCCTTGTGGCCCTGTGTCCTTGTGTCCCTGTGTCCTTTTGGCCCTGTCCCTGTGTCCCTGTGGCCCTGTGTCCCTGTGTCCTTGTGTCCCTGTGTCCCTGTGTCCCTGTGTCCCTGTGGCCCTGTCCTTGTCCCTGTGTCCCTGTGGCCCTGTGTCCTTGTGGCCCTGTGTCCTTGTGTCCCTGTGTCCCTGTCCCTGTGTCCCTGTGTCCTTGTGGCCCTGTGGCCCTGTGGCCCTGTGTCCTTATGTCCTTGTGTCCCTGTCCCTATCCCTGTCCCCAGGGTACAGTCCCTGTGTCCCTGTCCCTGTGTCCCTGTCCCTGTCCCTGTCTTCAGGGCACTGTCCCCGTCCCTGCCAATGCACAGGAGTGGCCCCAGAGCTGGGTGACTCCTGTAGGTGCCCAGGGGTGTGAATCCCCCCAAGCCCACCCCTGGTGTGAATCCCCCCAAACCCACCCTCAGTGTGAATCCCCCCAAGCCCAGCCCTGGTGTGAATCCCCCCAAGCCCACCCTCAGTGTGAATCCCCCCAAGCCCACCCTCAGTGTGAATCCCCCCAAGCCCAGCCCTGGTGTGAATCCCCCCAAGCCCAGCCCTCAGTGTGAATCCCCCCAAACCCACCCTCAGTGTGAATCCCCCCAAGCCCAGCCCTGGTGTGAATCCCCCCAAGCCCACCCTCAGTGTGAATCCCCCCAAGCCCACCCTCAGTGTGAATCCCCCCAAGCCCAGCCCTGGTGTGAATCTCCCCAAGCCCACCCCTGGTGTGAATCCCCCCAAGCCCAGCCCTCAGTGTGAATCCCCCCAAGCCCACCCTCAGTGTGAATCCCCCCAAGCCCAGCCCTGGTGGTTCCTGGGGCTCTGTTGGTCACATCCCCTCCGTGTGCCCCAGGAGCAGCTCCCAGATGAAGCGGCGCCCGACCTCGGCCGTGGGCTACAAGAGGCCCATCAGCCACTACGCCAGGGTGGCCATGGCCAGGAGATCCCACCCGCGCTTCAGGGTACGCTGGGGACACCGGGGTGGGCAGGGGTGGGGAGGGGGTGGGTAATGGAGGGTGGGAATGGGTTAATGGGGAGGGGATGGGTTAATGGGGTGGGTGGGGAGGGATGGGTGTGGGGAGGGAGGGGGCGAGGGATGGAGGGATGGATGGATGGATGGATGGATGGATGGATGATGGATGGATGGAGGGATGGATGGATGGATGATGGATGGATGGATGGATGATGGATGGATGGTGGATGGATGGATGATGGATGATGGATGGATGATGGATGGATGATGGATGGATGGTGGATGGATGGATGATGGATGGATGGATGGATGGATGGATGATGGATGATGGATGGATGGATGGATGGATGATGGATGGATGGATGGATGGATGGATGGATGGATGGATGGATGGATGATGGATGGATGGATGGATGGATGGATGATGGATGGATGGATGATGGATGGATGGATGGATGGATGGATGGATGATGGATGGATGGATGGATGGATGGATGGATGGAGATATATGGATGGATGGATGGATGGATGAATGGATGGATGGATGGATGCGTGGATGGAGATATATGGATGGAGGGATGGATGGATGGATGGATGGATGGATGGATGGATGGATGGGTGGATGGATGGAGGGATGAATGGATGGATGGATGGATGCGTGGATGGATGGATGGATGGATGGATGAATCCATGGATAGATGTGTGGATGGATGTGTATGAATGTGTGGGTGGATGGAGGTGAATGCAGAGCTAGAGGTGGATGGATGGCAGATGGTGACCGGATGGGTGGAGGGATGGATAACACTGGAAGGGAAGATGGAGGAAGCAAGCTCACGAGGATCTGGGACACACCAATCCAAGCTCCCAGCTTTATCCTCCCAGCTCCAGTCCTGGCTCTCCTGCCATTGGAGAGAACATCCCTGGCACAGGCTGGGAGAGGCAGAGCAGAGCCTTGAGCCCCCAGCCCAGAGCCAGGGCAGCCAGGAGAGGATCCCACGGTGACTCCCTCCCGTGCTGGCCGTCCCTGGCAGGCCGAGAACATCATGTTCCTGGAGCTGGACCTGTCCCCCCCGGCCATCTTCGAGTTCGAGCGCAGCCGGGACCCCGCGGCCGAGCAGGACCCGCGGGCGCTGCACCTGGAGCGCCTGATGCACCTGGACAGCCTCCTGCAGCGGCCCGCGGCTGCCCGCCTGCGCAAATCCCGCTCCTGGTGGGTGACAGCCCCGCGGGGACACGGCTGGGGCAGAGGGGGGCACAGGGACACGGCTGGAGGGCACAGGGACAGGGCTGGGACATTCCAGGGGGGACAGGGACAGGGCTGGGACAGATGGGGGCACAGGGACACGGCTGGAGGGCACAGGGACAGGGCTGGGGCAGCTGGGGGGGACAGGGACAGGGCTGGGGGGCACAGGGACAGGGCTGGGACATGCTGGGGGGGACGGGGACAGGGCTGGGGGGCACAAGGACAGGGCTGGGACGTGCTGGGGGGCACAGGGACACGGCTGGGACAGCTGGTGGGGACAGGGACAGGGCTGGGACAGGCAGAGCTGTCCATCGGGGCTGAGCCTGCCCGGGCTGTGCTCAGAGATTGGAATGCTCCTGAGGCTGTGCAGGAGGGACCTGGAGCTGCTGGACAGAGCCCAGAGGAGCCCCCAGAGCTGCTCCAGGGCTGGGAGAGCTGGGGGTGCTCACCTGGATGGGAGAAGGATCCAGGGAGAGCTCAGAGCCCCTGGCAGGGCCTGAAGGGGCTCCAGGAGAGCTGCAGAGGGACTGGGGACAAGGATGGAGGGACAGGAGCCAGGGAATGGCTCCCAGTGCCAGAGGGCAGGGCTGGATGGGACATTGGGAATGAGGAATTGTTCCCTGGCAGGGTGGGCAGGCCCTGGCACAGGGTGCCCACCCTGGATCCCTGGCAGTGCCCAAGGCCAGGCTGGACACTGGGACACCCTGGGACAGTGGGAGTTGTTCCTGCCCCTGGCAAGGGGGTGGCACTGGATAAATTGTAAGATCTCCCCAACCCAAACCATTCCATGATATTCTTATATCCCAGACCCAAGGTATCCTCCCACCCAGCCAGGGCTGCCCTTTGGTGCTGCCAGCACAGCAAACAACGAGGAAAAGGGCTGGATTGTGGGCAGGGTTAGAAGGCAGATAGGACAGCATCCCCACAATGTCTCTGTGTCCCCAGGTGCCACAGGACAGCATCCCCACAATGTCTCTGTGTCCCCAGGTGCCACAGCACAGCATCCCCACAATGTCTCTGTGTCCCCAGGTGCCACAGGACAGCATCCCCACAATGTCTCTGTGTCCCCAGGTGCCACAGGACAGCATCCCCACAATGTCTCTGTGTCCCCAGGTGCCACAGCACAGCATCCCCACAATGTCTCTGTGTCCCCAGGTGCCACAGGACAGCATCCCCACAATGTCTCTGTGTCCCCAGGTGCCACAGCACAGCATCCCCACAATGTCTCTGTGTCCCCAGGTGCCACAGGACAGCATCCCCACAATGTCTCTGTGTCCCCAGGTGCCAGACGCCGCGGTCGCTGCCGTCCTCCACCACCCACGTGTCCCTGGCCTCCGGCTCCCCGTGCGCCGCCCCTCTGCCGGCCCAGGAGTGACCGCCCGGCCCCTCGAACCGGACTGAGCCCCCCGGGGCCGCGGGGGGCCCGGCCCGCGGCCCCAGCTCGTCCTTGTCCTCAGCTACTTTGTGTGTGTGTGTGGAGACACGAACGGCCCGGCCAGGGCGGCTGCCCCTCCCTCCTTCCCTCTCTCCCTCCCTCCTTCTTTCCCTCCATCCCTCCTCCCCTCCATTCTCCTCCCCTCCCTCCACCCCCCGATCCGGACCTGTCACTTTATTTATTTAACCTATTTATTTATGGAGCGGAGGCAGGATTTGTGCTCGGACTGATGGACATCCAGGCTGGCAGTGGGCACCGTGCTGGATTTGCCCAGCTCCCAGCCCTGCCCACGCCGCCTGGCACGGGGCTGGGCATGGTGACAGCACCCTGGCACGGGGCTGGGCATGGTGACACCACCCTGGCACGGGGCTGGGCATGGTGACGGCACCCTGGCACGGGGCTGGGCACGGGGACAGCACCAGGACACTGCTCCATCCCGGCTGCCCTGGCCCCTGGTGCTGGCTTTGCTGTGCTGGATCCCAGGGAATTTGGAGATTTCTGCGTGGATTGGGAGACTCTGTGGTGGCAGTGCCTTGTCAGAGTTCCCTGAGGGACTCCCCAGCCTGCACCGACTCTGGTGGCAGCAGGGACACCTCGCCCACTGTGGGCACGGCTGGCACAGCTCCATCCCCAGGGCCTGCAGAGTCACCACACCGAGTCACCCAAAGGCCACAGGGCTCTGTCCAGCTGTGCCACGCTCTGGGGACACTCTGGGGACACTGGAGACAGCCCCACCGAGGCTCCCATCGCTGACTGTGGGTGTGCAGCTCCTGACAACAGCCAGAGGTGGAAATCTGGAAATCTGGAAATCTCCACTCCCTTCCAGAGGCTCCATCTGCAGCTGAAGGGACAGGGAAATGTGGGACAAGGAGGTGACGCCCAGGGCAGCGATGGCATCACTGTCCCCTGGACAACGGCACACGGAGGTCGCCTCTGTCACCTCCTGGTTGGGATAAACTCGCTGGTGGGGTGTGGAGGATTGGATTGGAGTGGTGGTGGGTGAGAGGGGGAAGCCACGAGGGCTCTGGGGGTTGAATCCTGCCCAGCAGCTGCAGGGACAGCACTTGGTGTCCTGCACGGCTCTCAGGGGGAGGGAAGCTGGTGAGGCAGCTCTGGTGTCCCTGGGATGGTGGCACGGGGACATCCCTGTGATGGATGAGATCCCTGTGGACGAGGGAGGGACCCCTGGCTCTCCTGGGTCAGCCAAGGGCAGGTCAGGGAGGATTTCAGGTGGGGAATGTCCTCTGGAAACAGAGAATTCCTGCACAGGGTGGTGAGGTTGGAAGGGACCTGGAGCAGTTACTCAGGGACGTGGCCAGGTGGGTTTGGAATGTCCAGGGAAGGAGACTCCAGCACTGTTCAGGGCAGGCTGTTCTGCTCTTTGCTCCTGGCCTGGTCCCTGCTCCCCTCGGTGCTCCTGCACTCAGGAAGGTGAGGGAAGGTGAGGGAGCAAGGCACAGGCCTGGAATGGGGACACCCAGAGGGAAGCAGGAGCTGGGCAGAGCTCAGCTCCCTCAGCAGCCGTGTCCCATCCGCACACGGCTGTGCTGGGCCATGCACTGCCCTTCCCAGCTGGCCTGGCACACCCCTGCACTGCCCGGGCATCGCTGCTTCCACCTGGCACTGCCCTGCCTGGAGCTCTGCCTCCACCATTGCCCTCTGCTCCCCCCTTCCCTCTCCATCTGTGCCCCATAACACACACCCTGCTCTGTGCCCCATAACAAACACCCTGCTCTGTGCCCCATAACAAACACCCTGCTCTGTGCCCCATAACACACACCCTGCTCTGTGCCCCATAACAAACACCCTTTCTGTGCCCCATAACACACACCCTGCTCTGTGCCCCATAACAAACACCCTGCTCTGTGCCCCATAACAAACACCCTTTCTGTGCCCCATAACACCCTGCTCTGTGCCCCATAACAAACACCCGGCTCTGTGCCCCATAACACACACCCTGCTCTGTGCCCCATAACAAACACCCTTTCTGTGCCCCATAACACCCTGCTCTGTGCCCCATAACAAACACCCTGCTCTGTGCCCCATAACACCCTGCTCTGTGCCCCATAACACCCTGCTCTGTGCCCCATAACACACACCCTGCTCTGTGCCCCATAACAAACACCCTGCTCTGTGCCCCATAAACACCCTGCTCTGTGCCCCATAACACCCTGCTCTGTGCCCCATAACACACACCCTGCTCTGTGCCCCATAACACACACCCTGCTCTGTGCCCCATAACAAACACCCTGCTCTGTGCCCCATAACACACACCCTGCTCTGTGCCCCATAACACACACCCTGCTCTGTGCCCCATAAACACCCTGCTCTGTGCCCCATAACAAACACCCTTTCTGTGCCCCATAACAAACACCCTGCTCTGTGCCCCATAACACACACCCTGCTCTGTGCCCCATAAACACCCTGCTCTGTGCCCCATAACAAACACCCTGCTCTGTGCCCCATAACAAATACCCTGCTCTGTGCCCCATAACACACACCCTTTCTGTGCCCCATAAACACCCTGTTCTGTGCCCCATAACACCCTTTCTGTGCCCCATAACAAACACCCTGCTCTGTGCCCCATAACACACACCCTGCTCTGTGCCCCATAAACACCCTGCTCTGTGCCCCATAACAAACACCCTGCTCTGTGCCCCATAACAAACACCCTTTCTGTGCCCCATAACAAACGCCCTGCTCTGTGCCCCATAACAAACACCCTGCTCTGTGCCCCATAACAAACACCCTTTCTGTGCCCCATAACACACACCCTGCTCTGTGCCCCATAACACACACCCTGCTCTGTGCCCCATAACACCCTGCTCTGTGCCCCATAACAAACACCCTGCTCTGTGCCCCATAACACCCTGCTCTGTGCCCCATAAAACCCTGCTCTGTGCCCCATAACAAACACCCTGCTCTGTGCCCCATAACACACACCCTGTTCTGTGCCCCATAACACCCTGCTCTGTGCCCCATAAACACCCTTTCTGTGCCCCATAAACACTCTGCTCTGTGCCCCCTAACAAACGCCCTGCTCTGTGCCCCATAACACACACCGTGCTCTGTGCCCCATAACAAACACCCTTTCTGTGCCCCATAAACACCCTGCTCTGTGCCCCATAAAACCCTGCTCTGTGCCCCATAAACACCCTGCTCTGTGCCCCATAACAAACACCCTTTCTGTGCCCCATAACACCCTGCTCTGTCCCTCCAGGACCTTTGTCCCTTGTCCCCCAGCCTGGCACCTTGCTCCGAGGACTGAGCTCCCTTCCCTGGCAGCAGCCATGCCCAGCCTGGCAGGAGGGGGCAGGGGAAGGTGTTGGAGGAGTCCCTTCCCTGCTGTGGGGTCAGGGCTGGCCACAGGTGCCCCCACAGCCAGGGGTGTCCCAGGGCATCCCCCAGAGCGAGCTGGCCCTGGGACACCATCCCAGCCCTGGGCAGGGCTTGGAGCAGCCTGGCACAGTGGAAGGTGGCCCTGCCATAGCAGGGGTGGCACTGGATGGGCTTTAAAGTCCCTTCCAGCCCAGACCAGTCTGGGATTCCCTGATTCTGGAACACAGTGGTTGGGAGAGCTGGTTTGTTATTTAATTTCCTGGAAAGCATCTGGGAGTCGGGGTCAGGAAGCACAGACTCGGAATGAGGGGAAGCTTGGGGGGCTGCAGGAATAGAATTTCCTCCCTTCCTTGTTTTCCAGCAGTCCCAGTTCCCCTTCAGTGGAGCCCCAAAGTGATGAACCAGAGACCTTCCCTGGCCTCTGTTCTCACCCAGGGTGTGGGAAACAACTCAGGAGCTGAGGGTGCCCTCATCCCTGGGCCATGGAGCATCCCAGGGAGGGTGGCTGTGACCTGGGAAGGGTGGCTGTGCCCCGGGAAGGGTGGCTGTGACCCAGGAAGGGTGGCTGTGCCCAGGAAGGGTGGCTGTGTTCATGGAGGATTCCTCCAGAAGCCTTTCCAGCAGAACTGTGGTCACAGAGGGACCTTCTGGAGCCCTTCCAGCAGAGCTGTGGTCATGGTGGGATCCTCTGGAATTCCTTCCAGCAGAGCTGTGTCCATGGTGGGATCCTCTGGAATTCCTTCCAGCAGAGCTGTGGCCATGGTGGGATCCTCTGGAATTCCTTCCAGCAGAGCTGTGGCCATGGTGGGATCCTCTGGAGCCCTTCCAGCAGAGCTGTGGTCATGGTGGGATCCTCTGGAATTCCTTCCAGCAGAGCTGTGGCCATGGTGGGATCCTCTGGAATTCCTTCCAGCAGAGCTGTGGCCATGGTGGGATCCTCTGGAATTCCTTCCAGCAGAGCTGTGGCCATGGTGGGATCCTCTGGAGCCCTTCCAGCAGAGCACAGGGTGGGAATCGCCAGCACCGGGCTGGGATGAGGCACTTCCAGCGCCAAGCGCCGCTCCCGAGCGCTCCCTGCTCGCCGGGAGCTGTCCCGGCCCGGCCCGGCAGCGCGGGGAGCGCTCGGTGCCGCTCGCTGTCCGCGTGTCCCGCCGTCCGTGTGTCCCAGCGGGGCCGGGGGCTGGGCCGGGGCTTCCTTTCGTTGTTGTTGAACTGTTCTTTTGGGGTTCGGGTTTGGCCGTTTTTCCGCGGGGAGGGGGGTGCGGGTCTGTCGCGGGTTCGTGGACAAGGTGAGGGCCTCGATTAGGACCAAATTTTCGTGCCTGTTGCTCTGGTGATTTATTTAGAAATCAAAAGTTTACTGTCTGGTGGCCCATCCTTGTCACTCTATACATAGGACTATACAGGACATATTATAAATATATATATATTATACATAGTGTCGGGAGAGAGGCCGTTCCTGGCGGGATGGACGCTCCTCACTGTGCTGTAATGGAGCCTCGGGCCCGCGCTGGGAGCGCCCTCCGGGATGGCCGGGACACAATAAAGGAATGAATGAGCATCGCCGCCCGGCCTCCGCCGCCTCCTTAGCCCGGCCGAGCCCAGCAGCTGGCACGGGAGGGAGCGAGGATTCCTGGAGTCCTTCCTTCCCTCCCTCCCCCGGGATTTGGGCAAAGATTTGTGTTCCGGGAGAGATGGAGCTGGCACAGACCCGGGCAGCTCCAGCGCGGGGACACCGGGAATGGCCCCGGCACAGCCTGGGGCAGCACACGGACACAGCACATGGGGGATGGAGAGGGGAGGTGGGAAGGGGAGAGATGGGAAAAGAGATGGGAAAGGGGAGATGGGAGAGGGAGAGATGGAAAAGGGGGGATGGAAAAGGGAGAGAAGGAAAAGGGGAGATGGGAAAGGGGGAGCTGGTAAAGAGGAGTTGGAAAAAGGGAGCTGGGAAGGGGAGAGATGGAAGGGGGGCATGGAAAAGGGGGGCATGGAAAGGGAGATGGAAAAGGGGAGATGGAAAAGGGGATGGAAAAAGGGGAGAGAAGGAAAAGGGGGAGATAGAAAAGGGGAAATGGAAAAGGGAGAGATGGAAAAGGGGGAGCTGGTAAAGAGGAGTTGGAAAAGGGGAGATGGGAAGGGGAGAGATGGAAAAAAGGGAGATGGAAAAGGGGGGCTGGGAAGGGGGGGATGGAAAAAGGGGAGATGGAAAAAGGAGATGGAAAAGAGGAAGATGGAAAAGGGAGAGATGGAAAAGGGGAGGTGGGAAAGGGGAGATGGTAAAGGGAGGATGGAAAAGGGAGAGCTGGAAAAGGGATGGAAAGGGGGAGATGGGAAAAGGGGAGATGGAAAAGGGAGAGATGGAAAAGGGGAGCTGAGAAAATAGAGATGGAAAAGGGGGGATGGAAAAGGGAGAGATGGGAAAAGGGAGCTGGAAAAGGGAGATGGGAAAGGGGAGATTGAAAAGGGGAGATGGAAAACGAGTTGGAAAAGGAGAGCTGGAAAAGAGGAGATGGAAAAGGAGAAATGGAAGAGGGAGAGATGGAAAAGGGGAGATGGAAAAAGGGAGAGAATGAAAAGGGGAGATGGAAAATAGCTGGAAAAGGGGAGATGGAAAAGGGAGAGATGGAAAAGGGAGAACTGGAAAAGGGAGAGCTGGCAAAGGGGAGATGGGAAAGGAGTGATGGAAAAGGGGAGATGGGAAAAGGGAGGTGGAAAACGGGATATGGAAAAGGAGCTGGAAAAGAGGGGATGGAAAAGGGGGTTGAAAAGGCAAGCTGGGAAAGGGAGAGATTGAAAAGGTGAGAGATGGAAAAGAGGAGATGGAAAAGGAGCTGGAAAAGGGGGGACTGAAAAAGGGGAGCTGGGAAAGGGAGAGATGGAAAAGGGAGGGATGGAAAAGGGGAGATGGAAAAGGGGGAGCTGGAAGAGGGGAAATGGAAACGGGAGATGGAAAAGAGGAGATGGAAAAAGGGAGAGAAGGAAAAGGGGGAGATAGAAAAGGGGAAATGGAAAAGGGAGAGATGAAAAAGGGGGAGCTGGAAAAGAGGGGGATGGAAAAGGGGAGATGGAAAAGGGGGATGAAAAGGAGAGATGGAAAGGGAGAGATGGAAAAGGGGAGAGAAGGAAAAGGGAGACATGGAAAAGGGAGGTGGAAAACTGGAGATGGAAAAGGAGCTGGAAAAGAGGGAATGGAAAAGGGGGCCTGAAAGGGGGAGCTGGGAAAGGGGGAGATGGAAAGAGGAGATGGAAAAGGGGGGATGGAAAATGGGAGCTGGAAAAGGGGGGTTGGAAAAGGGGGGTTGGAAAGGGGAGAGATGGAAAAGGGGGGCTGAAAAGGGAAGATAGAAAGGGAGAGATGGAAAAGGGAACAGAAGGAAAAGGGAGAGATGGAAAAGGGGAGATGGAAAGGGGGAGCTGGAAAAGGGGAGATGGAAAAGGGAGGGGGAGATGGAAGAGGGAGAGATGGAAAAGGGGAGATGGAAAAAGGGAGATGAAAGAGGGGAGATGCAAAAAACATTGCAAAGGCATAGATTGGGTTGGGTTGGGTTGGAAAGGACCTCAGAGCCCATCCAGTGCCACCCCTGCCATGGCAGGGACACTGCCACTGCCCCAGGTGCTCCCAGCCCCAATGTCCAGCCTGGCCTTGGGCACTGCCAGGGATCCAGGGGCAGCCACAGCTGTGCCAGCCCTGCCCACCCTGCCAGGAACAATTCCTCATTCCCAAGATCCCATCCAGCCCTGCCCTCTGGCAGTTTAATTCCCAGCTCTGAGGTTGCCCACAGCAGAGGGAGTTCAAGCCCTGTGGATGTGGCACTTGGGGACAAGGGTCCCTGGTGGCCTTGGCAGTGCTGGCGACGTGGTTGGGCTCAGTGGTCTCCAGCCCAGAGGAGTCTGTGATTGCAGGCACGCAGAGATTTGTCCTGTTTCTCATGGAAAAGGGCACTTTGATCAGGTGAGTCACAATAAATGCCACTGAAAAGGGACTGAGGCAAGAAAAGGGAAGATGAAAGGGCCCTCAAAGGCACTGGGTGTCCCCAAATCAGCCAGGTCAGATTTAACTCTCAGAGGGAATTTGGTGAAGTGGCCTCAGAGCTGCCAGTGAGGGGTCTGAGCTCTCACAGAGAGGATGCTGAGTGTCCAAACAGGGCACCTGATGAACAGGAACAGGATAAACATGAGGGATGTCTTTAAAATGGGGAAAGGGGAACTTGAGGGGTTCTCTGCTCAATTTAACTTCACCCCCTGAAAGGATTGAAGGGATCAACAAAATCCACCTGAAAATCCTGGCAGGGGAACATGTGAACAACCCAGGTGGGCTGGTCCAAAGCAAATGCCACCAAATGGCACCAAATGGCACTAAATGCCACCACAGCAGCTCCATGCTCAGCTGGAACAGAAGACCCTGCAGGTGTGAGGGACAGAATGAGGGATTTTGGTGAGATTCTCACTCCCTCCCTGAGGAGAGGCCTGAGTGGAGCCAACAATGGCATTATTCCAAGGGAAACAGGACACAGGGAGGCAGAGACAAAGGGGATTTGTTCTCCTTCAGCCCAGCACTCCTGGGGATCTTCCTGCTGGGGAAAGCCCTGCTTTCCAACCAGGAATGGCATTTGTGATGGTTTTGTAAAAATCAACAGGAATGATGTGAAAACATGAAAGAAACAGGGTGATTTCCACCTGGGAAGCAGAGGTCATGGTCTGCCAATACCAGAAATGCTCCCAGCTTCTTTTTTCTGCCTCTGTCAAGGTCAGGATTGAAGCTCTTGAGAGAAATTTCACATTCAGACTCAGATGTTTATTATTTCCTATCTCTATTACAAGTTGTGAGCTCTGCAGCATTCTCCTAACAAGCTACAAAATTGCCAGCTGTCTTTCCCTACAAGGTTAAACTATGCAATTAAGAAATGACACCTAAATTATTTTCACTTTTAACCCAGTAACTGATCCCTCAAAGTTCACATGGTGGGCTTTTCTGTCCAATAACAAAATACCACCCAAACCCATGGAGAAGAAGGTGAAGAAGGTGAAGAAGAAGGAGCAGCCTCCACCCTAAAACCTCCATCTTGCCCCATATATATGACTATATTATAAGCTCCAAACT